GAGACGTGACTGTGGGTAATGACTGTGTTTTTCTGAAACACAACAATGCACATCCACCCAGGCAGGTTGGTGGGGTGCTGAATCCACACTCGAGGCAGCTGCTGGAGCACGGCGACAAAATGTGTGCAAAGATGAGGGGGTATTTTACACCAGAATCAGAGTGCCTTTTTCTGAAAAAGAAATACACCACCAACTTTAAAAGCTGGAGAAATCTTGGCTATGTTATGCTTATTGCAGGGTAACTAGATTACCTGCTGAAGAGGTTATTGAGTGGATTATTTGATGTCTTTATATTATTAATATTAACATTATTGGACTGAGTCATTTTGAATTGTTTTATAATTCTCAACTCAGCCATCACAACCAGCATTTTTGAGGCTTTAAATATTTAGTTTGTTTTTTTTTCATATATGTAATTTTGACTATCCTCACCTTCCAAACTCTTCCTTTGTGAAAGCACGGACAATATATTTAGACACTGCCTCCCCAAGTACAGTTACCATGCAGTTCTTGCTACCCAGCCTAATACTCAATATGGCCCTTTATCCGAGTTATTTCAGACTGTTTTGACACAAAATTGAGTTCAAAGAAAGCACAGACAATTTGGAGGAATCTGGGGATATGGGAATTAAGACTTTTCCTGACAAGAAATAAAGAGGAATCATGAACTGAAAACAAATACATTTATGAGATTTGCTGAGTCTCCAGAAATCAGTGGTATATATATTTACCTGCCCCAAAGCTGCTTTTAATGACAAAGTATAAATAGAGTCAGAGTAATAAACAGAGCTAGATCAGATTAATCAATAATTTAATTACATGTGCAAAGCCTGGACATAAACCACAACTTTATTCTGGGAAACAGTAAAAGGGATGCACGGAAGAGCATTTCAGTGCTTAGGCAAAACAGGCTGCATCAGCTAAATATCCATACTACTACAGATACCAGTGTCTTTCTTGTAATGACAGCTCCTTCATAAACTGAGCATTTCTTGGTACCAATACTCTAGAAATAGAGAGTCAAAAACCCAGAAGATTATACATATTCCTCAGAATCTATTCCTGGTTTGCTAACACAATCCTACCCACAGCCCTTCTCATTGTAAACCCAGCACCTGTCCTCACCAGAAGCTTTTCCAAGTGCTAGGACAGGTAACTCGCATTGTCTTCTGCCCAGATTTCTGATTTGAGTGCATGTATTCTCACACCAAGGAGTTCTATTGGGTCAGTGTGCAAGTTAACACAATAAACACATTGCTAGGGAACTTCTCAATTACTCATTCCACAATGAGCTCTTGGACATGACTCTGAAGGAAATGGGAGGCTTTGGTACTCCAGCACTACCACAGCCCGCCCCCAACATTGTTGTTGTTGAAACTCCCAGGAATGAAGGAAACACTAGGTCTACATTGCACAAGATGCTCCCAAGCTAGCAAGCTCCCAGGCCATAGCACAAGTCCTGTGATATACCTTACCAGCTCAAAACTCAGAGTAGCTCAGCTCTTCCTCTTCACACCTGATAGGCTTAGCAAGCCAGCGAACTGCCAAGAAGCTACACTCCTCTTACAAGAACATGGAGTGTCTCTCAGTGACACTGGTTCTTACCATTGTATCTTTTTTCTGTCCTTACTCTGTGCTCTGTCAGTGTGGTTTCTTTGAGCTCAGTCATTTGACAAACCCAATTTGAAAATATAAAAGAAAGAAGAGAGCTGAGAAAATCTGGCCAAGCAAAAACTGTGAAGAACACGTAGTTACACACTGAAGCCATTGTTAGAAGTGTACCTTCCTCATTCTTCCCGTTGGATGCTTGAGGGACTACAGCCATTCCCAGTTTGCTTAGCCACCTGTGTTTGAAACAAAGGGAATACAGAATTAGGGTTACTTGCGTGCTCTTTGGACGGAGTTTTGCCCCTTTTAGGTGTGTTCTACATCACCACAGCTGTCCTCATTAACCTGAAGACTAAATGTCAGTTTCTTTATATTTCTTAGATCATCTTCTAGAAAGGCACGAGGTACCTGAATGCTAATATGCACTGTGCTGAGGAAGACTGGTTGCCTGGAACATCTTCTTTCCATGATACTGAAAAAAGCACTAATGATGACCAAAGAGTTGCATGTGTAGAAGCTAAAGGAAAACTACGTGTGTTATAACACAATGTCAGTGGCTTAGTCCTGCTCCTTAGGTGCCATCTTTCACCTGAGATGAAGCAAAAGGCACAGAAGCCATAGGAGGGTATGTCAGCTGCCCTGGCCAAAGCTGTCACAGCATTGTCTAAGAATCTAAGTAATTTAAAAGCAGACCCTAACAATTAAATATGGTTTTCTTCAACTCCCTGTGTACTTCTGGTTTTAGTAAGTGGCACTTCCTGTGTTGTTTTAAGCTACTAACAGGTTTTTTTCCCATTTCTCTTCCTTGGCAGTTGCATTTTTCTGGTGTTAGAAACAATCCCTAGATATACGTTTTGCATATTGTGTTTACCTGTGGGTCATTCAGATCTACCCAGGTTTTACTAAAACTAACAACTGAAAAACTCAGATGTTTCAGATTAAAACTCAAGACCTAAACAGGGAATGTAGAAAGGGCAGGAATTACAATTCATAACTCTGAAAAAACAGTGTCTTGATTCTACTGGAGCAAAGAGAAATTGCCGAGTGAGATTAGTGTCAACTAGATTTTTAGACTGCAGTATGAACAACAGAGCCACATAACAGTTCAAGAAAATAAAGTAATTTCTGTTCTTGACTTTCATCTAACAGCTAATCATAACAGATCGATTTTTTAAAATTAAAATCATCTTAACAAAGAAAAAAAAAAAAAAAAAGTTCGCAAAAAAATATAGGACTTCATTAGCCAGAAGGCCAGACTGCAAGTAACTGTATGCAACTGGCCAGGTAAATGCACACAGCTAGTCAGCACGTGTTACTTTTCATTTGTTCATGACAATATTAAATACATGCTAAATTAATGAAGCAAGTGACTGTATTAATAAATCTACTGTTGATTTAATAGATATATATGCATGAAGAGTTTTAAAAGGTCATGATCTGTCAAGCATTTATGCACACCAATAACTCGACATACACGAATGCCCCAGTGAGTTCAGTGGAACCACTGACGTGTATTTGCAGGAAAGAAGCCAAGAGAGCAGATGTCTTTTGGTCTGTTTTGACATATGTGTGAGTATGCGTGTACTTCATGTATTAAATGCCTGTGTTTTATACTTTGTCAAGTAAAACATAATCAGTTACAACAGTAAGGAATTATTAGTGCAGTATAGTGCAAGCTGCTCTAATGCTAGGCTGCCGAGTTTCAAGACAAAACAAGAGTTACTTGAGAAGTAGAGTTTGAAGAAAATCATTCTGGGGGCATAAGAGCTGGGACACCTGCACAGATTTCAATCACTCACTCACATGAGACTAAACATTTCAAAAGTGTCATTAAGACACTGAGAATTTCCAGCTGGGCTCTAAACTGGCTGGTAGCACTCACTAATATCCTCCATTAGCTCTCGTGTTCCTTTTCCTTCTCCCTACATCCTTCCCTCTTTTCTGTCTCAACCAGGGTTACTGTCTCTACAAAAATATTCCTGTCCAGCAGTCCCTTATTCTCAGGCATCCTCAGGTCATCTGCTTTGAAAATTTCTCCCTCTGTTCAGGAGATCCAGCAGGAAACACAGCAATACAGGAATCGATAGTAATCTGCCCACCAGTATGCTCTGTGCTGCTCAAAGTTGCAAAGGACAACGCATTCATTCTGTCTATATTTACTTGTATACATCTATTGAGTACAGATTTATACACGTATATATCTATGTAGGTACGCTACTGTAGTATTTACAGTATGGATACATTTCTGTATGTGTAGCCCTTTTGGAAGGTCACACAGATTCTCTCAACCTCAATCCTTTTCCATTGTGGTATGAGATATCCTGTTTACAGAGGGAAAGAATGGTAAATGCACTATGAAGGATCTCACAAAGATCACCAGCAGAGCCATGATTAAAATCCTGACCTGACTCTTATAGGAGCTCTCTCCACATTTAAATTCTACTGCTTTTTATCTGGTATTTGGCCATTTAAGGCAACAGCATTATGAACAGACTGCAACCTGAAGTAAAAAATTCAATGAAGATATGAGATGTATCTAAATCAGCCAAAACTGGATCAAAGCAACTAATATCTATTTCTGACAGCTCAGTGGTTTCTAAAATGGCAGTTTTGTATGCATTTTTACTTCTTGCACTAAAATCTGCACAAATTAATTGTTCTTATGGACATTTGTGGGAAGAAAATTTTTTCTCTGTCATGAGGAGCATTTAACTGTAATATATTTCGGGGATGAAGTAAATACTTTAAAGAAGCAGCCCTTTCTATCCCTTTAACCCTGCTTTTTAACTCTTTTGCTACTCTGAAAGCAGACAGTGTTATAATTCTAGTCTTAGATTACTTCTGGGACAAAACTATATTAAGACTTTTCCTCTCCTTCCTATCTTTCCTCACTTCTCCCAGGGTGATGAATTTGCTATCAAATCTTTGTCCCTCTCTAGTGGAAAGGAATTTATATCAGCAAATGTCAGGAAGATTAGCATCAAAATGAGGCTGCTAATATGATTCTGATTTCAACTATCATTAGTGAAAAAATAGCAGTATTTTCTTTCTATACTGTTATCAGGAAAAAAAAAAACAAAACAGACTGAATAATTCCCTGAATAACTTTGTCAACAATTGCTTGACAGTGGGAGAATGAACTTTCAAAGAGTATTCTGAGGCATGAGACAGGATGAAAAATGGCCAGTCACCCCTACTTACGTGTTCATTTCCAGAACATTTTCTGCTGCAAAATAAAACGTCTTGATCTGTGGGTGGCTGATCTTAATAGCACTTGAAGAAAAGAAAAATAGAAGAGATATGAAGGAAACTAGTTTACATAAGAAAAAAAAATAAATTTGAAATATTTATTCACTCCGCTACATTAATCCAGATCAGCCTATCCATGTAGCTCTTTCCTTAAAACTCTTGTCTATTTTTGCTCATTTCTTAGACCACATATTATTCAGAAGGTGTAAACTACAGGAACTAAAAAGGTAGGAATGAAGGATAAAACAAAGACCATTATGCCATTACATAATTCTGTTGTGTGCCCACATCTCAAATACTGGCTGCAGCTTTGCTTCCTCCAGCTCAGAAAAGCATAGTAAACCTGGAAAAGGTTCAGAGGAAGAGTTTTTTTTCTAAAAATATTGTACAATTTCCATGAGTGATTGGCCAGGCTAAGTCACCACAGTATGGAAAACTGATGGTTTAGAGAAGAGCCATATGATATAATACAATAAAAGCACTAGTTTGCAGTGGGTTTTGCAGCTCTTCACTGCTTTTCCAAGACAAGTTTTAGGAGTCACCAAAGAGGCAACTTGGCAGCAAGTTTGAAAAAAAAATGAATGTAAGTAGTCCTTGGACAAGCCTATAGTTAACCCGGTGGTTTCAGCCCCAGACTATGTTTTAGTTGAGTCTGAATTAGTAAGACTTTTCAGAGGGTTTTTTTTCCTAAAACAGTCTCCGATCCTGAAACTGTACGGCATCTAAGACAGAAAACAACTTACTGAAACAGTGAAGCAAGAGAAGGGGGAGGACAAGAATTTGGCATAGTGATCTACTTTTTTTTTTACTTTGTAGTTTTAACAGAGCACACCTGGCAGACAATTTTCAAAATCGTTTTTGCAATACGGTTTTCTTTCAGTGGCTTAATTAATATCTCATTATTTATACATCACAGGAGAGCTCCCCACCGCTTCATTGTCAGGTACAACTGAAATTCATCTCTTTGCAAAGCTGAAAAAACATGCAAAACTGGAGGCAAGAGATAAACTTACTGCTTTTTTTTGCATTCAACTGCTCGGTCCACACTGAAGTCTGGAAGTCTGATGAAGCCTTCTGCTTTTTCAGCCTGCAATCCAAAAGAATTTTAAAATTGCCGTATTAACCAGTTGGTAAAGTACCAGACTCCAATTCTCAACAATATTTAACATACAAGTGCTTGTTTTTGACAGCTTTTCACAGTATGAAAATATACGCTCATCACCATGGGGACAGATTAACACCCAATGTTTTGGCTGATATTTGGGGAAAATAAATATTCCTATACCAGATGTTCTTCGTGCAGTCCCTGGATGCTATAAAGCCACCACTCCTATCTGTGCAAATGGCAGACCATGAGCATTAGGATTTGTTGTACTCTTCCAAATATCAAAGAGCTTGAAAGATGAAGGATCCTCAACTCCTACAACAGTGCTGAGGTAGATTCTCCTCTCCTCACTGTGAAGCATAGGCACCCTTAATTAAGATTCATGAGTAAGTCCTAAATCTAGCCCAGAGTCTGAGATTGTGAAAAGCAAAATTTAGATTTGGAACAAACCAGGACTAAAGGCAGCAGAAAGATGGAGGAAACTAACTCCTTTGCAGTCATCAGTGATCACACAACATCTTTCGACAGAGACCAGCTGCGCTTCATGCATAGACCACAGAAAATGAAACAACGGAACCTCAGCTCTAAAATGAGAAGCCTCTCAAAAGAGATGCATGGCAAAAGAGGGAATTAATCCATTCAGGTTTGGATGTTACATACAATCGCAAAGGAACATTTGTTCCATTATACAGCACGCATGTATGTTACACATATACAACACCACGTATGACAATCTATGTATATTTGAAAAATATACATCTGTAGTTATAGTGCCAGAAATTCACAAGTGACCCAAGACGATCCTAGGCAGAAATGGAGGGGAGTCTCCCCTGGGAAACTGTAACATGGACCATTTCCTACAGTCACCTATATATGTTGGCAAGGCAAAAGCAATACAGGCTGCTCCCATGACAGGAGGTGCAAGTGGATGATCCCACACAACTCAGCTCTGTTGTTAAACACTGTAAACCAGATGCAGATGGCTTGGGCCACTCAGCTATCACTCCTCCCAAAAATTTGCAAACATGGTACAGGAGGTAATGAAAGCCAGGCAATCATTTACAGCACACTGTTTATATGCAGTCACCCCTTTCTGGATGGGAGAAGGTTTACTGAGTGCTGGCATCTCTGTTCTGGGTCAACTGGACTCTGTGTCAGAGAGTGGCTCCAGCAAAACTGAGGCTACCAGTTAGTCCCAAATCCCTGCTCTTGCTGCCTGCAGCTGAAGCATCTTTCATTAGTACAGTTACCTACATTCATTTGATCAGACTCCTCCTAAAAGGAGCAATGGTGCAGGCAAAAGTCTGTAGTTTATAATGTCAGGAAAAACTGTGCTGTCCAAAATACACTTTTTGCTTCTCCCACCCATTATCCCTGGGCACATTCAAATTCATACAGTTAAGGCAGGTAAAATATACACAATTACAAAGACAGAGGATGAATGAAGATGACTGACAGCATCTCAAGTCACATTTTGCTTGAATACAAAGACACATAAAAAGATGTTCATCAAAACAAGTCTTTGAGCTTTAATGCTTGGAAGTATGAATCTCTGAGAATTGAAATATGGATACAGAATGGATTTTTTCAGTGGGTGGCTCCCCTGCACAATATACAATAAATCACAGCACAACCCTCATTCCCGCAGCTTACATGTATTAAATATTCATGTGAAAGATTTATCTTTTGCATCTCCACCAGTACATTGTTTCACCTGCTTGGGGGGGGGGGGAAGGGGAACAAACAAACAAACAAAAAAGTGTTTCAATGGCTTTTTGGTTTTTTGGGTCTTTTGTTTGGTTTTGTATTTTAATTTTCTCCTAGTATAAAAGTACTGATGTTTATTAGTATCTGGGCTGAAAAAGGCAATAAAATTGATTTTGCAACACAGCCTTACTCGTACAGAAATGTGCTTATTTGCAGTTGTGGTTTTTAACTTTCAAACTTGTTTAGGGCTTGGCTTGGGGAGCTTTTTTTCCATTCCATAGGCTGAAATTTAGTGAGATTAAAATCACTGAGACAAATTAATAGCTAATTAAAGTAAAAAAGTAACAAGACTTTTCCAAACTTTTGGGTTTTTATGTATATTTCAATCAACTACACTTCGAGCTGGTATTTCCATCTCAGATCCATAATACACTAAGTATACAGGGATAAGCGAGTAAGTAGGGATGAGTAAATGATGGATGAAAAATGCAAACATTGCCAGTTATTTCTCTTCAGCATCAATCAATATGTCCAGTTTAATTAATTTAAAAAAAAAAAAAAAAAGGAAAAACAAATTTTAAAAACCCTGTAAAATGGAATATACCCAGGTATCTTTTCACCCACACATCAATAAATCCATAGCCTGACCTAGGTAAACCATCAGGTGGATGACTAGGGTTTGGGGAGGATTTTGCCCTTACATGCTTCAACTGCAATCACAACTCAGCCACTTTCACCTGCTGATCCAGATGCTGTTGGTCTCGACTGTATCCTATAAATTGCTTAAGGTCCTGCCCAGACACTCATAAGGAGTTAAAGGCTATACAATGCCATTAGGTAAGTCAACGTCTCTGCTTTCAGTTCAATTTTATTGTATACAAACACTGATGGTTCAGATTTTTTTATTGTGTTACTGAATTATCAGGATCCTATAAGGCAGACTAAAATATTTCTCTGTTGTAAAACTGGTAAATTAGTAGTAAAGTAGTGCTTTAAAGGGAAAATATCTAGTTATTTTGGAACAATTTCCATCTGCGATTCAGGGTACTCCTGACAGCATCACAGTATTTTAGTACTGCCCCCAAGAGCAGTTCAGTCCTTAAGGCTTTTTAGTCTATTTTCCCTTTGCTAAGTACACCAATAAGACAACCTATAGAACTGTGAAAAATGCATTCAACATTTTGGACCAGAGGTCCCTGAAGCCCTTGGCACAATCAACCAGCATCAATGACTTTTTATCATTCATGCATGCAGTGACTATAACTCAAAGGTGAAAGGTTTCTGGTTTAAAATACTGCAATTATACAGCTCCTGCCAAAGCTGTTGGAGTGAGGACCAATTTAAATGCAGTGAACGGGGAAAAAAACCCCAAAGATAAATAGTGACAGTAGATCACAGCCTGCAATCCTTTGATTTTACATGTATATTTCTTTTCAGCTGAATCCCCATGACAACCATCATTAACACATACTGCAAAACTGTATTTCAACTCTACTTGGAAAACCAGCCAAGCTACACTAAAGGCCTAGAAAACAGAGGTGTTTAGTCCTCTGTCCCTTTCCAGCCAACACCATCCAGCATAATCTCGACAAATACAAGGAGCCAGGAGCCTGGGAATATATGTGATGATCTTCCTCCTCTTCATATGCGGGACAGTTGATTCCTTCCAGGGTTTCAGTATGAGAACTAAAACTATTAAGAAGGCCAGCACTGTCCTCTTTAAACACTTGTCTGCAGGGCAGCTGCCCATGGAGAGCAGTACTTGAAAGAGGGAACAAAAAGCTAATGAAGACTACTTGTCCAAGGAGACTGGTGTTCCTACATGCACCCAGATCTTCTAAATTCTCACATTCACTTTCTGACATTTTTCTGTGTTTCCATTGCAAAACCAACCCCCATGCCTTTCCTAGTCCAAAAAGCTTCCCTTCTCCAGGATGGGGGTGTGTTCATGTTGCAAACAAAAGCTTTCCTGCCTCATCTGTTATCTGTGTTCTAGAAAGAGCAAGTGTATGTAGGAAGAGGTTTCAGGGCAGGTCTATGAAAACCTGCTGAGACCACCAAAGCACTAACTTCACCACTCCCAGTACCCCAGGTGGCTGATCAGAAGATAATTTGGATTTGCCTGTGTGCTCTGGTTTGCTTTCAGTGAAGGAGAAGCTTGAGTCTGATCTCCTGTTACTGGCCCTTCTCAACATTTTATTATTTTTGTCTTTTGAGCTGTGGCTTTCACAACATATGTTATGTCAATTTGAAGAAGCTGCCATCTACAAATGTCACTACAAGAGTCCTGTATCTCTTTCCTCACTTTGCCTTGCATGAAAGACCTGAAACTAGAGTGCCTTGAAGGTGTATGAAATCAGAGCAACAAAAACATCCAGATGCCTTCAGAGGCATCCAAAAGTGGACTTCAATGAAAACATGGTACCAGATGAGGTTGCCTATCCAAATCCAGGACAATGCTTTTTCCTCTACAAATTCCACCCACTCCTTATTTTCTCCATCTCCATTAGACAGCTAGACTAGGTCCAGCACCCTGTTGCTATGCTACAGTTGCCAATATCTGGTTTACTGCAGTTTCCACACAGCCCGAACAAAACACATTTGTTTTTCACAAGAATGAAACTGGCCAGGCAGAGCTAGAGGCAGCCAATGCTCTTCAGTTTCTTCAACCTCAGCCCTACTCCTCCACCACTACCTTTCACTTCAGCCTTGAAGAAGACCAGTCACAGGAAACCTCAGATATGTGAGGAGCAGGACTCCTCTTTCAACACAACATTGAAGTTTTAAGTGTCAACTTGGATGGTCGACTGAGACCAAGGATTAACTCCACTGAAGGAGGTGGAACTGCAGGCAGTATTAAAGCCAGGCTAGAAACAGTAGTAAAAAGAAAAATCTACCAAGCCAGTGAACATGTCACTTCTATTTCTGTTTCATCAATCTAGATCTGAAAATATCTGTAAAAACACAACAGGCTTAAATCATCTCAGACATGACTTTCAGTATGGCTCTAGTCTCCCTAATTCAAGCAAGCAGATCCTAGTAAAGGACGCTTCCCATCCTTCCCACACCCCTTAGTTACTGCTATTTTTCAAATGTTGCCTAAATCTATAATTATGCACAGATTGCACTTTAAGTTATACAAAGAAACCTTGGGTTTTTAAAACAAACTAGTGTGCATAAGTCAGCAGAAGTTGAAAGCAAAGAGGTGCTACCAGCTCATGTGCTTGCAAGGACTGTGACAGATGAGAAGTCAGGGCTGACATAAGCCAACAAAATTTTGAAGCCATATGAGGTCTTCAGGATACATGACATAAACAGGAATGACGTAGCCACCCATTCCTCAGCCTCGTTTATTTTGGGGCAGCCAGTGATAGCAGGAGAACAGGCATGAACCAAAAGCACAAGTTCACCCAGATGGTGAAATACCTCTAGTATACACTGGGATCAGAATGACCATGGCTTCTCTGGGTCCTGAGAGGGGAATTTAGCCATACAACAAGTAGAGGGAGTGGATGACTTTGCTTCTATCACCTGCCACTCTTCTCCTCCTGGAATGCAACATTTGCCTAATCTTGCCAATTTTTATTCCCCCCAAATTCATGTCAGCCAGCTAGCTCACCTTTCTTAACACTGCTTAGTCAGAAGTAGAAATGCAAGAAGTGATTTAGAATAGTCAATGCTAATAAGGATTTGCAGGGAATTAATGCCACTGATAAGTATATCTGCCAGGCCATGTCCTTCCAGCAGAAGTATTTCAAGCAGTGGAAAAAAAAAGCCTTCCCCCCACACACTTTTCCTGTTTCTTTTCTTTCTTTCTCTCTTGTATGTATTTGATCTGGTCTTGAAAGGAAGCTAGATCAGTCTACCACAACACCACAAAAAGCAGCTGCCCATGGCCAGCAGAGTTTATTTCCCAATCCCTACCCATTCCCCCACTCAAAAAAAAAAAAAAAAAAAACAGCTTTCATGCCATTTCTGTTAAAAACAACAAAAAAAAAATGAAACAACCCACCCCCCTGAAAAAAACCAACCAAACAAAAAAACCCACAAACAAACAAGCAAAAAAACACACAACAAAAAGACCACTGCTCCCTCAAACTGAATGAAGAATGTGAAACATTCTTTAAATGAGTAAAGTTTTGCTTAGGATTTTGGGTGGTTTTAGGGTTTAAACTGTTTTATTTTTAACTTGAATGAAACAGCAAGATTTTTAATGGGGATTACAGCAACAAAAGTAGACAAGTGGAAACAGTCCAGATTGCATTCAAATTCTTAAAATTTTCTAAGAATTAATAAGGCTCTCTTTAATCTTTCAGCCTTTGCTGATTTCCAGAGCAGCCCATTTACATTTAGGAGACCTGACGTCTGCCCACAATTCCACACAGAAGCTACTCAGTTCAAACTTACGTTGTTACTAGCATCCCCTAATCCTTTGGACACCCCAATCTGGGCTCGCATCATTTGAATGTGATAGGAGCTTTTTTAAAGTAATGCAGAGATAAGTGAAGAGGTGAATTATGTCCGAATCCTCCTAGGATGGGCAAGACATCCTCTCTGCCCAATCAAGCCGAGTTGTAGCAAACAACCAGGAATAAAACCAGACATTCCCTGGAACTCACTGCTACTTTGTACTCAGCCAAATACTTTCATTAAAAGGGTTAGTCCAGATTTCTCACTATATCTGCCCCTGTCCTCCTTTTTGGTTTTTTTCCTAGTTCTTCAGTTGGTTGAAGGAGTTCAGGGACTGCAGTTCTTTGTCTCAGATTATTTCCCACTTGTACTGTAAGTGGAGTAGATGATTTGGGGATGGATCAGCATTTTTTACAGCAGCTGTCCTGAGGAATGTTTGTCATCTGAACAGAAAGTTGGACCTTGAATTCAAATCATTGTGTCCTCCTGCAGATTTGACTTTTAGCATCGACTCATCAGAGCAGGAAGTTAAAAATCAGCAGAATGTGAGAACCTTTAATTACAACGCTCTGGATGAGACATCAGCAAGACCAGAACTAAAAACATCACTGACAGTGCTCGTACCTGCAACTGTACTATTGCAAACTGGGGAAAAAAAGAAAGAAAAAAAAAAAAAGAAAAAAAAAGGGGGGGTGGGGAGGGACATGGACGGACGACAACGGATAGGACAGGTGGACACCAAATAAAAAAGCATATGAATAAACAGATTAATCTCAGTGTGGAAGGGCATGGAGTGAGAATCAGGATAGTGACTGAGGAAAATTAAACTAATTATTAAGTGAAGAAACATTCCTGTTTCAAGACTTGATAGCAAGTATCTCAGGAAAACCTTTCCCAAATTCAAATGCCACCAGAGCCTGAGAAGAACAGCTCTTTAAAGGGCAGAACAGGCAGTAAGTTAACATTTTACAAGTACTTGCTGAACTAAAAAACACATCATTTTCTGCCTGTTGCCAGATTACAAGAAATGTCAGGGCTGATAAATTAACCCAGTAATTTGTGTGTCTCCAAGGTGCATTTAAACTGTGACCCCAGCTCCCCTTCTCCCTAACCCAGCAGACGCTGCTTGCCCAGCACCCAGAGCTGGATGGACACTGTACTCACCAGCTGACTGCTGTACCAATAGAGTGATGAGTCCTTCAGCACACACCAGAACTTTTTCCATTTGTTGCCAATGAAAGCTCCTTTTTCCTTCTTTTTGTAGAGCCATCCTTGGCAATCGGCTTGCCCCAGTTCTTTACACGATATCCTCCGTCGGCTCATTATAAAGAACCCTGTGCCATTAAAAATACAGGGTTCTGCTTGTTTAAAAGTGTATTGCCAAGAAAGATGTTGCTGCCAATTAAAGATCTCAACCTTACTTAGCAATCTCAGCAAGTCACTCGAGCATATCTTAAAATATAGTTAGAAGTCATTCAATTTTATAATGGCTGTGACAATAACACAGATTCATTTGAAAGGCATTCTGATGTGCAGAAACAAAACAGTAAGCTATAGATAATGCAGGCACTAATTAATGCTAAGTTAACCATACACGAGTTTTTACAAATTAAAAATGTATCCTTTGATCCTTTTAAGAGAAGCATGCATATACTTCCCTTCCCACAGCTGTGCTGAAAAGAATATATCTATTTAAGTCAGCTAGAGAAAACTATTATGCTAAGTACATGAAAACAACTAGTGTGTGTGTATGTGCAGGCAGCTGATTCTACCTCGCTGATTTCCAGCTTTGATTCAATTAACATACCACAAGGATTTAGTCCAAAGGAACAGCCCGTTGTCATTTTTCTCAGAAACGGTGCAAGAATCAGTGGAGTTAAAAAGCAGTCTTCCACCAGCTGAGAAGCAGTATAAAATCCTCACCCTCTCAAGAATAAGACATACGAAGAAAATAACAAAAGAGGAACCCAGAAGAGAAAAGAAAAAGCAATCTCTCATTACCTTGACTTTTCTTTTTTGTCTTCTGACGCAAGGGAACCTGTAAGAAATGCAGGAAGGAAAGAAAAGAGGAAATTTCAGATTGTGTTGCAACATTTGTGTAGAAAGGGGAGGGGGAAGCTAGAGAAGGACGTGGTCGTGATGCTGGTGGTATATGCAGGATGGAAACACATAACTCACTCGCTGCTGAAGGGACGTTAGTAGTTGAAGCATAAAATGTGTTAATTACAATTGATGTATATCTAGTTGAGCAAGAGCAAACGTAACTATTATATGTGTGTCTATCTACTAGTGCTTCCTGTTTTACACCCACAGGCAGCTTCTCCTTTGCTACATGTTTGCCTGAATTACATTCTGTGTTTAGAAGTTAAAAAAATGTAAGTTAGAACTCCAGCATTTTAATGTTTTATTACACTCCATGAGGGGGATCCACAAACATGGGAAGATTAAAAATACATGCCAGGTGGCTGATTGTTGTTTAGCTCATTCAAAGAAATTCCAAAAAAGGAAAAAAATGGATTTTCCACTCTTTTTATTTAGTGCAGATAATGTGTTTCCCCCTACTTCGGAGTTTCATTATATTTCTTTAAAAAAAAATAAACCTGGCAGATTATCTAAACCATAAACAATCCAAAAGTATGCCATGTCATACATGGGAGTTTTAATGACTGCAAAAATAACACAATTGATTTCTATTTACTCATTTGCAGTCTGTATATTTCATCCCACATAAACACATAGAAAATGAAACTAAAACAGAAGACCACAGACTAAAGAAGAGGTCATTAGAAACGTAAGGTCTGGCTTTTGGAGTAAATTGTCCCCAGACAGACAGGTTGGTCGTGCGTCTGTGGACAAAGCACTTGAATTCTCTTTGCCTCAACCTTTCCATCTCTAGCACAGGAATAAAAGCATTCACCTTTTTCTATTTTTAGGAAGGTTTTGAAGCCTTGGGATGACAAATGCTGGGTAAGATGATATATGATTTAATATGCTTGGCCACAACGTTGCTATGCAAAGCTGATAGCTACCTGATCCGCTGCAGAGCTACGTTATGAACATGCCTAATGCAGCCCCTCTGCCCAGCAAGCCTGCTTTTCAGGAAAGCAAAACTCCATTTCACAGTATTCTTGAAGGATTTGATGATTCTTCTCACAGGTGAATTAAGGGTCAGTAAAACAATACTATCTGGAAACAGTAATAGAAGAGAACACAGCTGAATTTACAAGAGCTAGAACATTCTCTGACCAGTGATCTTTACAACAAGTATCAGAGTGCAGAACTGCACATTGCAGTCTTATGCTTATCTGGTGCCTATTTGAGATGACCTGAACACCACACCTGTGGGAGGCTTTAACAGGAACGAATAATCCCAGATTCCTGCTTAATCGTCACACATTCTTCTTTTTCTGTTTTTTCTTTTTTTTTTTTAATTCTACCACTGCCTCTCTCTCACACACACTACTCTCCATGACAACAGACAAAGATAAGCAAGGAGAAAACACATTGGCCTTATTGGAGGCTCTGCTAATTCCCCAATCCGATGTGGGTTGCCCTTCTTGTCTTCATTCCAAAGAAAGTAACGCCCTATTTAGGACACGTGGAACTAACATACGGCCTCAGTGAATCAATGGGTTGCACAGTCACACCAATTACTTTCCTTTAGAGCTACCCAAAGTGACATTAGGAAAACAAACATGAATCAGCTCTCCTTGCACAAAAACTATGTAGTGGGGAAATGTCACATCTTTGCCATAAGACTACAATGAGGTCATTTCATCTATAGCCAACATAAAGTTGTACAAGAGCAATGCTGAGACAGGATGTGGCTCTCTGTAAATAACAGAGGAAGAAGCATCTCTTTCCACTAACCATATTGATGATCTGAAGCAAAATAATATGCTGCATGGCTCATCTGCCAAAAAAGGGTTAATATCCATACTGTGTAAATCATCTATCAGGACCTGCTTTCTATACAGACTGAGGAAATTAAGTAAGAGGTAGCAAGACCTCAGAGTAGCAAAAAGAATTTATAAATGTGCATTTATCATTAGCATCAATGATGGTACCCTGCTGCATAGATGATGGACCCCTATCTCTTCATATTTTGTAGGAGGAGTTGAGAAATTAATGGGGGGCAGGAAGGGCAGTTTCTCCAGCCAAGACTGCTTTTTATTTGCCTGGATAAAATCAGACATAAAACTGCAATAAAATCACTGCTGAGTGAGATTTCCTGAATAAAGATATATTTCTGGTTTTCTTCTCAGTATTCCTGAAAGCTGAAATAAATTTTCAACAAAAAATCCTCCACCTGGAGTTCAGAGACTTTTAAATGGTTTTAGGTTGTTCAAAACTCAGCATCATTTAAAATAAAATAAATAAAGCTTGTTTTGCTCTGCACAAGAGAAACCTCTAATCCCAGACTGCAGCAACAAAATCTGGTCCAGTGTTGTTTAATATCTTCATTAACACTATTGACAGTGGCATTGAGAACACCCTCAGCAAGTTTGCTGATGACATGAAGCTGGGTGGTGAGGTTGATATGCTAGAGGGATGGGATGCCATCCAGAGGGACCTGGACAAGTTAGGGAAGTTGGCCCAGGTGAACGTCATGAGGTTCAACGAGGCCAAGTGCAGGGTCTTGCACCTGGGCCGAGGTAACCCAAGATATGAATACAGGCTGAGGTGATCACACTTGAGAGCAGCCCTGTGGAAAAGGACCTGGGGGTACTGGTAGATCAAAAGCTGGACATGAGCCACCAATGTGAGTTGCAGCCCAGAAGGCCAACGTTATCCTGAGCTGTATCAAAAGAAGTGTGGCCAGGAGATCAAGAGAGGTGTTTCTGCCCCTCTACTCTGCCCTGGTGAGACTTCACCTGGAATACTGCAGCCAGCTCTGGTGCCCCCAGCACAAGAAAGATGTGGACCTGTTGGAACGTGTCCAGAGAAGGGCCACGAGGATGGTGTGAGGGCTGGAGCACCTCTCTTGTGAGGACAGGCTGAGGGAGTTGGGGTTGTTCAGCCTGAAGAAGAGAAGGCTTCAGAGGGACCTCACAGTGGCCTTCCAGTACCTGAAGGGAGCCTACAGGAAAGCTGGGAAAGGTCTTTTTACAGGGGATTGAAGTTGAGAGGACAAGGGTTAATGGTTATAAACTGAAAGAAGACAGATTTAGGTGAGAGATCAGGCTGAAATTCTTCAGTGTAAAGGTGATGGAACACTGGAGCAGGCTGCCCAGACATGTTGTGGGGGCTCCATCCCTGGAGGTGTTCAAGGGCAGGTTGGATGGGGCTCTGAGCAGCCTGTTCTAGTGGAAGGTGTCCCTGCCCATGCAGGGAAGTTGGAACTCAATGATCTTTAAGGTCCCTTCCAACTCCAAACATTCTGTGATTCTATTCACAAGATCGCCTTCCAAATTTGATTTATAAACAAATGCAACCTCTTTCTCCAAAGCACCAATGTTTGAAGGCAGATAAATATTTTATTAAATCAACAAACAGTTTTCATCTTAAACCAATTGAAAACCCATATTCAAATGAATCTACAACAAAAGTTATAAAATGCCTTTCCAGTATGATCTGAATTCAGTTCTCCACAAGAATACAACATATTAACATGTCCAGTGGCACATTTTTCCTCAAGAAGAAAATTAGAGTTTACTCCTCTGAAAACTGGCTTATGAGAGCCAACAGTCTCATTTCAGTGAACCTGGGTGAACAATGATTAATAGAGACTTTTCAGTTTCAATCCTAATAGGAGACTAACACCACTGCAGAACAAAAACAAACTGTGGAAGGCAGAAGTATTACCAGTAAAACCAATAGTACCAACTAGGGGTGTAACAGTAGTTTCAGATGTGAATCTGCTGTAACTATCATTATAATTATCCGAAATATAACTGTCATTATAACTATCTGAAATGGAAAAAAATGTTGCTATTTTAATATGCTTCTCACAGCGGTGGATATTTATCTGTAAAGCTCAGTTTCCTCGTGATAAATTATTTATTTCATTATCACAACTTCAGCTGAAAAACAAACACCCAAACCCCACGTCTATTTCTAGCCTTTGTTGTTACCAGGGAAAATCCAAGAGCAATAATCCTCAGAAAACTCTGAAATAAATGCAAAACATTACAGTTACTTACAACTTTAGCAGGGTCATCATTTTTGTGTGAGGCTGGCACTACAGGGCAGATTTTAATCTTTCTTAAATTCGTTTTGGTTTACTCATCGTTTTACTGAGAGCTGAGAGCTGAACAGGATGGGATAGTGATCGTGCAGGTCAATGCAGGCTTCAAGCTTGCTACCTGTTACTCCTCCACTTGGCTAATACACCTACAAGCCAGTTGCAAAGGGAACTGTGAAGCTGAGCATTGTTCACAGCCACTTTTGTGCCAAGCAAGCTTCATCAATGGGGAAAAATGTACGAGAGACATGGGAAACTTCTATCAGTTTAGAGATCCTATCTTTCCACAGAATCACAGTATAGTTGAGCTTGGAAGGGGCTTCTGGATGCCATCTAGTCCAACATCCCTCACTCAAGCCAGGATACCTACAACTGGTCATCCAGGGAGCTTTTGAATATTTCCAAGGATGGAGACTCCATAGCTTCTCTGGGCAATCTGTCCCAGTGCCCAGTGACCCCTGCCTGGCAGCAAAACATCTCTGCCATCAGACCTACAGGCCCTGACAGGGAGTCACCCATTGCAATGACTCAATATTTCTTCCTGGTTGCCTTGCATGATTTATAGTTGAGTGTACTAGCTTAGTGTACTACTAAGTACTACCTTACTAGCTCTTTTGTGAGTAGGCACATCTGGCTCAGCTTCAATTTTCAGGGCAGTCAACCTACATTGCAGATGTAGATGCTTAAATGGGGCATGAGCCTCCCTCTTGGTACTAGAAGTCAGACTTTCATCCTTACCTTTCTGCAAAGGCTTTACTTACTTTGAAAGTAGGGGTAAACACTGCCAGCTTCTCCATTGCAGTTAGGGACTGAGGCTCTTCAAGCTGTTGTGTCCCAAGGAAGATCCTATCTGTCTCTGTTTCATTTTCTCTGATGATGCACAGCCCATTCACTTCCTCCCAAGACTCCTTCACTTGCCAGTACAGCTCCTCCAAGATGGCACACCTCCTGCAGGGCAGAGGGCCATCTCTTCTGGCCTCAGAAAGAGATCCCTGGCACTTCCTAGAGTTTGGGACTTGAAGTGCTGCATCTGCCATCTGAAGTTCAATCTCTGTGGAAGCCTCTGCTTTAACAGGTTCAGCTGCTCCTACATCTATTGGAGAAACTGCCCTTTTACCAGCAGCAGCACAGTTTCAACTGGGGCCCTGTTACTTTGCTCCTTCTTCACATCCTGCTACACGAACTGCTGGGTCTGTTGGCTGCCCTCTGGGCTTGGCTCTTAAGTCCCTCCCAAACACCAGTTAAAGGGTGCTTGACCACTCCTAATCAGAGGGAGTTGCACCAAAGTTCCAGGCATTCTCGGTTGAGAACAGCCAATCACAATCAGTAGAAGCTGCTGGACCTTCCTCAGTCCCGCACCCTTGTGCATCCTCTTACCTTATCCTTCCCAGCTGTACTTTCCTTAAGCTTCTAAACAGGTATGTGGCTAAGAAAATCCTTTGCTAACCTCATGTATCCTGAGTTGCTGCTTTCTCATCCATTGAGGAGCAGGACTCAGAAGTGAGGACACCTCTGATATCAGGTCCCTACAATAGACTTTATTTCATCCTTAGAGTAGAATTAAGGCAACGTGTGGCCCAAGTGATGATGTTGCCCACAGTCTTCTATGATTACAAGGACACTACCCAAACATACTAATTCTTCAGCTGATCATTAACTCTGGCAAATCTTCAATTATACTTACAAGAGCATTGCCATCAGCTTCCATGAATGGTTTCAAAGCTTAGTGGGAAAGCTGCAAGAAGAAAAAGTTTTGTTTACTGAAATTCTGTATTATATTTTGATTTAATGTAAGTTTTGTCAGTAGATTAAAAAAATATGTTAATGCACTTTTACCTGTCAACTTTACCCTCCCCACTCAGCCCACGTTCTCAAAAAAAAGGAAAAAAAGAAAAAAAGGATCTTTTCCAAAGATAATGCTGTGTTATGTGAACTGATTAAGCAGTTAAACTGTGATGGGTACTAATTCAAAGCTATCTAAGTTTTTGCTTTTGTTTTGTGAAATAAACACAATAAAGCTCATGGATGTGGTTGGGAGGTTGCTTTTTTTGGGGTGGGGTTTTGGGCTGGGTGGGTTGTTTGGGGGTTTTTGGTGGAGTTTTGTTTTTTGGGGTTTTTTTGCTGGTTTTTTTGGAGGGGTTGTTGGATTTTTTTAGGAAATGCATAGAGAATAAATAAGTAAGGCCAGAGGTGGTTTGGGGTTTTTGTTAGTTTAAAATTTATTTGGGGTTTTACTTCAAAAGAAATCTACAAGATTTCCATTTCTGCTTCAGATGAGTACTCCTCAGTGTTTTCTGGGAGATCTAATAAGGTAATATGCTGGCTCTCCTGAGCAAGATGAGTTCTCAGACTGGATTACCCATCTTATGAAGAACTGCAACTTTCCACACTGGAGAGCAAAATCTGTGCAGCCTAACAGTAGGCACAAGTTGTTTTTTTCAAATAAACATAAAGCTAATAGTTATCCATTTAGGTGAGAGTTCAGGTGATTTCATTTGATATACACATCCATTTTCCTTCAGCTGGTAGAGCGGACAGATAACAAAATCATTTGTGCAGTGCACAGGATGAAGGAAAACATACCAACTTTTTAGTGCCAGCAAAATTCCTACAAAACTCACTCTTCTGCTCATAGAATCATTCAATGAACTGGGAGAGGATACAACGTTTTATTGAAGTGAGCAGGAAAGGATTTCCAGAAATAGAGCCACACTTCAGAAGAATTTCCAACAAGAACTTTTTCCTGTTACTAAAACGAGTAATTTAAGATATGTGACAATCCCCATACCAATATTTGTTTTGGTTTGAAAATAAAATCTTAAAACAGAAATTAAAACCCCACCTACTAGCTTCCAGTAACTTCAAACCAAAAATAGAATGGCAAACAAATGCTCATTTGTCTGGCTCCCAACTGTTTCTATTCAAAAACAGAAATAAGCACTTTCTATAAGTGGCTCTAACTGAAGTAGTGTCAAGGAAAGGTGTTATGGCAAATAATTTCAAGGATGTTTAGAAATCATAGCTAGCATAAACAACTAGAGGAAACACCTTTAGTTACAAGCAAATTAACATTGAGCCTCAAATACTGAGCCAGAAAACCAGGGAATAGCACAACAAATTATAGTAATTATTGTGACATATGGCCTTTTTCCTGTCATTTCTTCATTTCATATGTGCTTTGGATTTGGGGAGGGTGGGGCATAATTTTACAAACTGCACAGATTTGAAGCAGCCTCAGTACCAGGAGCAAGAGGAGAAGTGTTAGTTAACTGGCAAGGAAGCATTTCCGCCTGTCTGCTTTTTGCCAAACACATTGAAATGGATTTCAGCAGAACCTTCTCAATGACGTTTACTCAAACTTTTGTTTAGCTTCCAGAAACTGGATAAGCAATCTTTGAGCCATCATCCAATTTTCAAAAGCAGCCTTGATTTCTGTCTCATTCAAGTTAAGAATATAATTTATTATTCCCTGTGTAATGAAAGGTGTAAAACCCCCACATCTTCACTGTGGAAATAACTCTCTTACACATAACCTGAGTTTATTTCTCCTAAGTAAACCCAACCTGAGTGAAATTAGTTATACTGTAAAATAGCACTAGGATTTTTATATCTGCTCAAGTAAACTCAACTGTTACAAAACCAACATTTCAGAATGGCATAACTTGTTTATCTCTGCAGTACAGTAAAATAAGTGTTTCCTTTCAAATTTTCCACAAGTGCAATGTGGAAAAACCATCTATCCTTTCTAAACAGACAGGTGAATTAGGAGAAGGAGTTAGATAAATACAGTCGCTGAAGTAGAGCTAGTCCAGACACACCCTGGTGGATGGTCCATAGGAGGAGACTTCAGGGGCTTGTTTCTGGAAACCCCAGCTCTCCATCCTCCCAATATTACCTCCCAAAGGCTGCAGTTAGCATCCCCTGCTGAGCAGTGCCCCTCAGGTGTCCTCTGTGTGGTGGTAGGTGGTCACACTATGGCAAGCCCGGTAGCATTCCCAGAGCTGGGGGTTTTGATGGCAGAAGAGCTTTCCAGCCCACAAAAGCTACGTCTGAGCTTGGGAGCTTGGAAAGCCACCAATAGGCTGGTAGGGGACAACACTTGAGTTCATACCACCAGGAGCGTGTCCTGATTCCTAACTCGAACAGCCGCAGTAGGAGAAGACTTCACCCAGACCACCTAATTTCATAGCACTCAGGGTGCTAATGTTACAGCCTGGAGACAGCCATGTGTGTATCCTTGTCCTGACTTTGGTGGACATTGAATTTGAAGTGGGTTCTCGCCCCTAAAAGTGTACCCCAAGCACCAAGGTGAGGATGTGAGATTCTTGCCATCTTCTTATGCCTCTTCATTCACAACATGACTGATCTAGGAACAGAAGGATAAGGAAACCCTCCAGCCTACAGATTAAGGCACCCACATAGAAAACACAAACTAGGTTTGCAGTTTGCTGCAATGGATGCTCAAATCATGCAAAGTGAAACAAACCAAAGAGAGAAAATATAACTAGGCACCTCCTCCACTTCAAACAGCTTTATAAAGGAGAAAAACTTGAACCTCTCATCTCCTGGAGGACAAAATATAAAGGATCTGCTGAATCAGCAAAGGGGTTGGATTTAAGTTATTACTTCGCAAACAATACCTACATTTCTTTGACTTTCTTAAAGGTGCCTGAAACAACTAATTGAATTTCAGTCTGAATTGAATACAATATGTCAAAAGTGATTTCAGATAAAAGATTTCTAAACCAAGTTGTTGAGAATTTAAAATTTTTGATTCAACAACTGAGCTATAAATATCCATTTGCATAGCTTTATCAATCCCACTTCGCTCTTGCTCTTTCAAGAAGAGTAATAAACAAGTAGGTACATGAGTAATAGCTGATGCAACACATGTGGAAACACAGCAAGTGATTTATCAGAAGTATCTTGCAATCATTTCCATTTGACTACATCATCTCTTCTGAAATAAATAGAAATATCTCTGTTAAAGATCAAAGGCAATGTTAAGAGTGGAAAAAGAGGGGAAAAAACACCAGGTTCCAATTATTCTAATTGCAAAAAGCAATCTTAATTCATTAGTAATATTCCTCTAGTGGAAGTCAAAATCCATGAAGCCTGATGCTGTCTCTTACTGGTTACAAACTTGAGTGAGTGTCGATCTGCAATGTTACTGGTACAATCCTGCCAGACATGCCTTCCAGAAATGCCTCAGATGACATCCAAAGTGGGCATATGCCTTCCTGCTTCTCAGCAAAATATTTGAGATCTGCAACATGACTCAAACTATTTATGTTGCAGAAGCACCCAAAACATGCACAGCTCAGTTCTTGTTCAGATGACATTGACACAGACCACTCAAAAAAAATTCTGCTTATCAAGCATCAAGTTAGGCTGTAAGACACCTGGAAAATAAGATTTTTGCCTTCCTTCTGTTTGCATTTCTCACACCAGTCATCAGCTCTAACCTTTCTGCCTGCTTTCTCTTTATTTGACTGGCTGCATCAATCTGCACTTCAATGGGCAATGAATTGACAGGCGATATGGAAGTAACGATAGTGCTACCAAAATTTCCCTTAAAAAATCAATGATCACTTAATCACATATCTCACTTACCAGGCATTAGAAATAGCATCGGCCCAAATTATAGCAGTGCTTGAAGCATTGTCCTGTGTCAAGGAGACAGCCTTACATAACAGGCCTAAATTATCACATTACCTTTAACTGGGGTTCTTGCAACAACACAAGGGGGAAAATATCACAGTGACTGTAAGCATTTAACTGTCCTTTAGGTCTAGAGATCAATGTAATCTGACAGAATCTTAGAATTAACTATCAGTTAATCTCATCTAGTTGGTTACTTATCTGGTTAATTAGCTATCTAAATCAACTAACTTATTTGTACAAGGAGTTTCCTGACCTGCAGGTTTTCTGTCATTTACTGACTCACCAGGGAAGTTGGATATTAAGCTGGTGCTTTGCCATGGGGCAATGACTGACATGAAGATACTTTTCACAAAAGCTCATGGACTCTCCCATCCCAGCTGAGTTGTGTCCCGCTCACCTCAGTATCTGCGACTTTGTGTTTGCAACTACAGCTGAAACTACAGATTTCAACATTAGCATTGGAAACAACCAGTCCTTTGAAGTATAATCATAAATCCTAACTGCCAGAATATACCTTCAGCTTTGACCACAGTGCATGAATTTAGGATTGTTAAATAAAAATTACCTTTTGAAAAGTTGGAGGGGTTCTTATCGCAGGCCTAGCAGCCAGAAATGGCATTTACCGCATTATAATATCATTGGTTATAAACCTTTTTTACATGCATTTGAAATTACTCAATCCCCTAGCCTGCAAGCAATTAAAAATGACAGCTTCTGATTCTGTTTGAGAGAGGGCCAGAAAAAACTGGAACAAAGATCACTGCTCCTATCTTGGAGACAGAAAGGGTCTGGAGACATTGCCCTGCTTGGGTCATGGCCAGGTCCTGTCAGTCCAGCCAGGAAGCCAAAGAGCAGCAGATTACAGGTGCTGACAGCTCTGAGCAAGCAGTTGCAGGAGCCCAAGCTCACACTGCCTTTAGGAGGAGAGGGATTGGAAAGAAAGAAGAGGTTCAACAGAAGAGAGATGCTCCAGCTGCCTCTGTGACCTCACAGACAAGAAAGAGAAATCAGAGCTGTGCTTAGTGAAGCGTGCCTGCCTTGTTTGTGATGTTGTTGTG